ATGAGTTTTATAGTTTCAGCTCTTATATTTAGGTTTGTGGTCATTTTTGAGTTTCTTTTTGTCGGTGGTATGAGGTCAGGGTGCAACTTCATTCTTTCGTTTTCCCAGCACCGTTTTTTGAAGAATGTCCTTTGGCCATTAAATGGTCTTGGCACCTTTGTCTAAATTATTTGCCTCATGAACAGGAGGGTTTGTCTCCAGGCTCTCTATTCTGTTCCATTGGTCTGTATATCTATTTTTCTGGCCAGTACCACACTGTTTTGATTACTGTAGCCTTGTAGTAAGTTGTGAAAACAGGAATGACTTCGTCTTTTCTTTCCAATTTGTTTCAATTACTCAGAATTATTTAGCTGTTAATGATGTTAAGATCAATCAGAGAGTTCAAGTTGTAATAGCCTCGATACCAGCCTTTTGCCTGATAGTTTAAACCGTTGTTGAATATTGTTAGAGTCATTTAATTAGAGTTTACAAAGGGGTGATTTCTTTCATACTTGTTTTTGGGGACAGTTCTTCATCAATGATAACTTTATTGAATTTTAGTTTCTACAAAAGAGCTGGTTAAATGCTTAATTCTTCACCTTTGATTTCCAGTTTCTACAGAGTTGGCACTCTGTTGTGCTCAGCAACTAATGAATAAAAAAGGAATTGAGGGTTTATTTTGTTTTCTTCTTTATAGTTGTCATTATGAACTATTAGACTTTCTATAGAAATCTGTTTTAATTCTTTGCAGATAGAGGCAAGGAATCTGTGTTTTTAACATAGAGTCTTCATGATCTTTTCTTAACCATATTTTTTATTTATGCATTATAGTTGTGCATATTGGTAGGATTTGTTGTTACATTATTTGTACATGCACACAATATAACAATAGAATTTGGCCAGTATTATTCCCCAGTATTTCCCCTCCCTCGTCTCCTCCCCCTCCCTTTAGTGCCTTTCCTCTACTGATTTCCCTCCAGTTTTCCTGAGACTCCCATCCTGCCCACCTTTCTTTTCCTTTTTCCTCTTTGGCTTTCATGTATGAGAGAAAACATGCAACCCTTGGCCTTCTGAATTTCACAGCCTACATGTTCTTGATGGAGTTGGTCTACCTGCAGAGCAGAATGATAGAATTTTATTGATTTAAAACAAGTTGTTATCTTCCATACCAAAGGTGTTATTCAGGGATGAGATAATGTCTAGTTTTATCAAAGGCTGAAGTTCTTATCACTGAAAATTATTTTTATTTTTTTGGTACCAGGGATTAAACCCAGGGGCACTCCATCTCTGAGCCACATCTCCAGTCCTTTTAAAAATATTTTTATTCAGAGAGAGAGTCTCACTGCATTACTCAGGGCCTCACTAAGTTGCTGAGGCTGGCTTTGAACTCAGGATCCTCCTGCCTGAGCCTCCCAAGCCACTGGGATTACAGGTGTGCGCCACCGCACCTAGCTATACTGATTTTTAACAATTTTATTTTACTAGCAAATTGTAGATGCTTGTTCGTGCTTATTTTGATATAATTTGATCATTGTGTTACCTAATTTTAGATATGCCAGATTTTCAAAAGCATTCTTACCATAATCTGAGAGGTCTTTGCATATCAGTGTGATCTGTTAGATTATAGACGTGGGCTCTGTCTGAGTAAAGTATTTTCCTTTTATTCTACACTTTAGATAGTCTAAGTTTAAGAAATAAAAAGGGTATGGTTTTTCTTTAGTAATTGTATATTTCTATGAAAGGAAGTTTATATTTTAATAATAAGGTTTGTCATCTATAAAAAGGCCTAATTGGATGGTATAATATTCACAGAGCCTTCTATCTGCAAAGTTCTGACTCAGGTGTCACCCGAAGGCTAGACATTTTAAAATCATGTTTCTCCATTTGTTTACTAAGTTCTGACTAAGTTTATTTGGTACTTGTTTCTACCTTCTTGACTGCTTTTCTGGGATGTCTTCTTGCCCCCCCGCCCTCCACTTTTCTTTTTCTTTTTATAACTGTGTGTTAGAGTTGAACATAATAGTGGTATTTATACACCACACAGCCTGACAGTATGGTTTGGTCAGTACCACTCCCCAGCACTTCTCTCTTCTCTCCTTCTGTGCCCTTTTCTCTGCTGATCTCTCTTTGATTTTTCATGAAATCCCCACTTCCCTCTTTGTTTTCCTTTTCCTTTCTTCCACATGAGAGAAAACATATGACCCTTTACCTTCTGAGTTTAGCTTATTTTGCTTAACATAATGATCTGACGTTCCATTTTCCTGCAAATGATGTAATTCCATAATTTCAGGTGTCTGCTCATGGACACCTAGGCTGGTTCCATAGTTTGGCTCTGGTGAATTGTGTTGCTATAAACATGGGTATGCATGTATCATTCAGATTCTTTCTCCTGAAACTGAAGCAGTTTCATTGGTTGATTCTCTTTTAAAAGGCTGTGATTGATAAATATCTAGCTAACAGTTTATTTCAGTAATCAAGTCATTCAGGCACAAATTGGGAATGGCCAGCCTCTATGAAACAAGCCTTTTGGGCCATCTTTACCTTTTTGTTTGTTTGAGTACAAATATACGTATACTATGCAGGGGGTGAATACACTCTGGAGTGCAAGGCCCAGCAGCCATCTACAGGCCTGAAACTGTACCACACAGAAGGCATACTTTCCTATTGCTGATGACCCACGATGGTGGATCAGAATTGGTGTTTATAAATCAGGGGCTTCTCAAATGATCTTTCTTCCACAGTTACTGTGTAGAATCAGTGCAACAGCCAAGGCAAAGAGGTGGCTTAAGTGAAATAAGACCCAGTGAGTTAGAGAAGCTTTAGTTCTCTAAGCCAGGGGAAGAAATGTCGTTAGTTTCCTTCAATGATAATGGCTTTCAAAAGAGCGTCCATTCTCATAAGCATTTAGTTCTTGAGCTAAGAGAGTGAAGCACATGATCTGTCCAGAGTATGCTGAATTTATAGACTCAGAAAAGAATTTTTAAAATAGATGGGTAGAAGACAAAGAGTTGGGAAAAGTGAACAGTAGTAGAATATGGTACCTCTGATTAAAAATCTAGGATGAGAGAGCATGGAGCAACTCTCCCTCAGGTGACTGCCTTCAGATTGTTCTTTAAGGCCTTTACTGTGTTGGTTCATGAGATTAACTCTGAATCTTGAACATAAGTCCTCTGACCCACCATTCCTGGCACTGCCCAGATCTCTAAGTGGGATGGTGCACATACAACGCTAGATCAGTAGGTGCACTAGTTTGTGTGAACATTTACATTTTCTTTAATGGTAAGCATTGTCTGGAAGGGGTGGGGGGTGACCATGCCTGTGAGTCATGCTAGTGCTGCTAGTGGCTTTAGCTTCCCCTTCTCCAAGTTGAAGAGTTGCTAATTCCAGAAGTGAACAGAAGATGTCACTGCATCTCTATTTACTAGGCTCTCTGGTGGTTGGTACAACCAGTTCTCAATATGGCTACCGGATCACCATACTTAACTATTATGGCTGTATAACATTCTGAGTTCCCCTGCTTTAACCCAAATTAAAAATTGAGTAAACCAAAGAGGGAATTCCTCAAGTTTTCTTAATTGTCTTTTTTTAGTTTGTTTGATCTAGACTTATATATTACTGTATTTCTAGGTAGCTGACAAAATGTATTTGCCTTTTCTTGTCACCCTTTCAGCACCTATTTGGGAGCCTAGATAGTTTCTCACAGTTGTTTTCAACAGGGTTCAAATATTGAAAAGTTTACTGGCCTTTCAGGAGCTTACTTTGAGCATGGTGGGGTGGGGGTGTACCAGGGATTGGATGCCCCCATCAACCTCTGAGCCATGTCCCCAGCTCTATTTTGTATTTTATTTAGAGACAGGGCCTCACTGAGTTGCTCAGCGCCTCACTGTTGTTGAAATTGGTTTCTAGCTTGTGATTCTCCTGCCTCAGCCTCCCAGGATACTGGAATTACAGGCGTGTGCCACCATGCCCAGCTTGGTAGCTTACCTTTTTTTTTTTCCTAGATATTTTTGTTATTGAAAGGCCTTTATTTATTTATATGTGGTCCTTAGAATAAAACCCATTGCCTCACACATGCTAAGCAAGCACTCTACCACCCAGCCCCAGCCCCAGTCCTCGGTAGCTTACTTTTTAAAAAGCATTCAGCAGGAATGTCCTGAAGTGAGGTCCTGAATACCAAAGAAAAATAGCTACTTTATTTTTCTGTCTGAATCCTTAGCTTTGGGAGTTGAGAAAATCAGAAACTGAATTATGACCTAAGGATCTATGGTGCCTATTTTTAGAAAACCTGTTCAGTATATATAGGTAGTAGGGTTTCCTGTGTTACACAAAAACAAAGTTGGTGGTCAATTGGATTACTGTAGAAAGTCTGAGGCCTTCCAAAGTTATGGTGTGTTTTGATCAGATGGATTGAGAAAATAGAGTCATATATGTCCCAGTTTGGCTAGGTTAGTGCTGGTTTACACCTCTTACTCGTGTGATTATTAATAGTTCCCTTTTTTACTCTCAGTTGTCCTAGTTTGGACAATATATGGTCACTTTAAATTAGCCTAAAAAGAGAGGTTAATATGTTGCAGTTTTAGTCATATTTTTTGACTTATGAACTATGGCTTCCTTGAATTTCTAAGTTGAACATATGCAGGATAACAGATAACGTAAAACTTACAAAAAGCTGTTGATCTTGCAAAGATAGTTTTTTAGTTTCTGTTTTCATTGTTCTCTGGAGTAATGAGTTCCAAAAATAGCTGTGCAATCAGAATCAACTTGTAAGCTTTTACAAATAAGAGTTTCATGGTTCTCACCACACATCCATACCAGAGTTTGTACTTACCGTTACATTAAAAATATAGAAGTATATGCAGTTCAAATGCTCTTGACAACTTTGTCAGCAAGCTTTTAAAAGCTATCATATAGATAATGATTTCTGTTGTTTATATGGTGTTTGGTGGGGGGGGGGGTTGATGATGGCTGCCTGGGCCTCAGAGGTGTGCTTGGCATTGATATGAGTTGCCTTTTCATTTCAGATGTCATCTGGGTGATTCTCAGTGTGGAGGTGGGTGGACTGTTAGGAGTAACGCAGCAGCTGTCATCTTTTGAAACGGAGTTCAACACACAGCCTCATCGCAAGGTAGAAGGAAACTTCAACCCGTTTGCCTCTCCCCAAAAGAACCGACAATCAGATGAAAACAACTTAAAAGACCCTGGGGGTTCCGGGTTCGACTCGATCAGCAAAAACACATGGGCTCCTGCTCCTGACCAAACCGAGCAAGATCAGAATAGACTCTCACAGAACTCTGTAAATCTGTCCCCCAGCAGTCACGCAAACAACTTATCAGTAGTGACTTACAGTAAGGTAGGTGCCCTCGGAGAAGAGGAGAAGGGATAGGTGGTGGGCCTTGGGATTCGTGATACCCCTTCTTGGCAAACCTAGAATCCTGACTGTCACTCAGTGGAGGTGGCTCTGTGAGACTGCTCACCTCTTCTGCCAACACCAGCAACACAAATGCCTACCCCTTCTCCCCTCCCCCACCCCACATCTTGTGGATATTGCTGCATCCACATTTTATAATTTACTCCCATCTCTCTGTTCTGGTTTGAATGTTGAAAGACCGACTTTTTTTTTTTTTTTTAAACCATTAGCATTTACAAAAACAAAAGCAAATGTCAAAATATCACTAGCCATGCTTCCAGTGTGGATGAAAACAAAGCTGAGAGCACAACAACACACATTTGGGATTTGTTTCTAATTGATTGTTTGGGGTGCTCCCCCTGTGAGTAGAAAGAGAAACTCAGTTATCTTGTCCTTATTATTGTTGTTGGACTTTCACTTTATTTACCGTGTTTGCATGTCTTGTTGACATCTTTTCAATCTGTTATGGCCCATTGACCTCTTTACCCACAACCCAGCGTGGCTCAAGTGATACTTTGACTTTTCAAATGTGGGAGATAAGTGAGAGAAATGTTAGCCGAGAATTTAAATACTCTGTTGTGAGATACCCTTCTAGCTGTATGAGTTCTTGGTCTGTTTTCCTCATGCCCTGCTAAGGTGACGGTGGCTCCTGGTTGTTGGTTGGGGCTGGTTGATGAAGCCCTGGTGCTGATAGTTCATGGTGGCAGGTGTTGTGTGGTTGAGTATTGGGAGAATTCCCCTGCATTCTTCTCTGATGGAAAATGCTGTCCACTTAAGCCCTGTGTCCCACCTGTACAGCTACACAGACTGTGAAGTCGAGTTTTGCTTCATGGTGGTATTCATCCTCAATTTTTAAAATAAAATTGTTTATTTGAGAGGCAAGTTGCTCTGTAAAATGGTATTTTTCTGACTAGTGGTTTATATATGGTTTAGATCAAGAGACAAGAAACCTGGTGATGTGAGTGGTCTTTCTTCACATGATGTCATAAGAGGAAATTTATTGAGCAGTGGTAACAGAATGGATTGATATGTTGATTGATGGTCTTTATAGAGGATTTTGTGCAGTCATGTTAGTTGTATAGGACATGACAGGAGTAAGTTGGCCGACAATATTGCTGTATTGAGGAAGGACTTAACACTCTTAAATAAAGATTTTCTTTTAACTTATATAATTCTCCGGAGTCCTTAAATTTTTCTTTCTTAAATTTAATCCTTTAGAGTCTGTGACTGTTCTAAGGGTAGTGAGCAGCCTTGTTAGAATGGAAACTTGAGGCAGCTGAATTTGATGGGAAGTTGAAAGAAGCAAAATCAGTCACTCCACTGCTCTCTGCACAGGAAGCCCTTAGGCAGCTTTGAGCTGTCTTGCTGAGCCATGCTACAGTCTCAGGAGAGGGCTGACATTCCTGGCCAGGGCACTGCACTCATCTCCTGCATTGTGACGTGGTTGTTGTCCTCTTCTTTGGGGACTGATGCTTTTCATCAATTCCATGATATCATCCAGAGGGTATGGTGGTCTCGTCCTCATCTTTCCTGCCATCTTTAATTAAGGTCTCATCAGCTAGCTGCTTCCTTTGGAAAAGCTGGACCATGACGAGAGGCTATTGAGGTATTTCTTGAAATTGATGAGCTCTTGGGATGTTTTTATGGACCCTGGGATCATTTAGAAGTCGCTAGAACTCATTGAAAATGTCAGTATTTGGGGTCTCCCTTTTCTCTTAATCTGTGCAGAATCTTATTTCAAAAGTATTTATATGAACCAAAGTTTCATGAAAGTATTTCTGATTCAAATTGAGTCATCTCCATATCTTAGGGCTCCTTAAGAATTTCATTAGGGTATAGACAGTCATCCCTAAGTATTAACAAATCTATGCACATCTAGAGCGGAATGTATTTGGCTGTGGTAGGAGACACAGGAGGAATAAAATATGTGATCCCGCCCACTAGGAGCTTTCAGTGCAGCAGGGAGATGAAACAGGCACAGGGCTGTCATAGAACAGTTCGGCCGACATGAAGTATGAATTTAGTTAGTAGAGAATATATAATTTGTTTGCAAAGGGAAATGATGGGGGGTGTGCAGTAAGAGAAGCAGATGAAATGGAGGTGGAGTTAAAGGAAAGGCTTTTCAAAGGGTAGGTGAGATTTGGAAAGATGGCCAGACAGCATAGAGAGTGGTATGGAGAACATTTTAAAGTGCCGAGGGCAGAATAAGTAAGGAATCTGTGGTCCAGAGTATGGGTGATGGTCAGATGCAGTAACGCATGCCTGGAATCCCAGATACTGAGGCAGGAGGACTGCAAGTTCGAGACCAGCTTGGGCAAAGGTCTGGGGATGTAGCTCCATTATAGAGCGTTTGCCTTGTGGAATCCCCAGTGTGTGTGTGAGCAGGGGTGGAGTTATCCCTTTGAGGAGTAGTGAAAAATAATTACAAAGGGCTTTGAAAAATCTTAATACTATATTTAAATGGATACAAATTTATGCTAAAGGGGAAATTTAAAAATGATAGAATCCTAAATATTTATATTTGGCTTTCGAATACACTGCTAAGTTTAAAAGCCAGCATGCTTGAGCTCCAAAGTGTATACTTGACAAAGTGATGCCGTCAGGTATATACTGGAGTTAGTTTTTAACAGTTAAGTACTAGACATGCTTCCAGGTGCTTTGCAGAGGTCATCTCATTTTTAGATGAGGAAACAAAAGCTCTGAGCGGCATAGCTGGGATTCTAATCCAGGCACCACATTAGTAAAAGATATTTCCTGGTAGGTGCACTTGGGCTTGCCATAGGTCCTCTCATTCAGCTGGAAGCTGTGTTGAGGGCCAGCGTGAACTGAGTTGACTAGTATCAAAGCAGGAAAGAAGCAGAATTGAAATAAGAAAAGTGATTCTAAAGTAAATTGAGCATTGTCTGTGGCTTCTTGTTTTCACAGAGCTCCCGATTGCTGGGTGTTTAAAATAGTGATGGCTTTTCCTCAGTAAAAATAAAACAATTTTTAACTCTCGGCTGGTGTTATAATAAATTACACCCTTTTATTTATGAATGAATAGAAAAGAAGAGAGAGACCCTGGGCTCTGGTGGTGAAAAGTGTTTTCAGTTTCCCAAAGATGCCATCTTCATTGGATGAGGAGGAGGGGTACCTGGTGCACTGGCATCATCGATCACTGAGTTGGCAATAGATTTTTTATTTTCTCTAAAGAAATTACCTGCATGACATCAAGGCTGGGAAAGAACGTGACACTTTTGAAGCCCATGACCACAGCTTTAGTTTTCTGCTCCCTCCATAGTTACAGCTTAACTTGCTAAGGTTGGTAGGATGACATGAAAAGATTGCTTGAGGTAGCTGCTCTGTGAGGACTGGGTGTGTCTTTCTGTCTGCAGAGGGGCAGATCTGTCAGTGTCAGGAACTGAACTCCTAGGTAAGCTCTCCTGGACTCAGTGCTTCATCCCTGCAGGGGATGCTCTAAGTGGGAACCGCTGCCTCAGCTGCATCTGGCAACCCAGAGGCCCTAGCCCCTCCCTGTGAGAGCCGTCAGGGAGTCAGCAAAATAAGAACATGCCGACCTGCTCCAAAGATTCATAAATTTGGCTCCTTGGTTTTGTTAGAATTTTGCTATTCTCATTCTCAGCTGAATTGTGGCTGACTTGTCCCGGGTTAGATTAAATATTGATGGAGGTTAAGAACTATTTTAATTCATACTTTTAATGTGATCGCTCCAGAGCCTTTGAGGACCAACAGTCACAACTGCATAAGTGCTCATTGCTGGCTTAAGGCCTGTCACACAGTGCATTCTAGCACTCTGACTCATCTTTGGGGCCAGGGTCGCTTCTGCTTGGATAGTGTGAGAGTAATGTAAAACAATTTACAGAGATGTGGAAGAAGGGGGAAAAGGCCTATTAAAATTAGATATGTTGGGGCTGGGGATGTGGCTCAAGGGTAGTGCGCTTGCCTGGCATGCGTGCGGCCCGCGTTCGATCCTCAGCACCACATACAAAGAAAGATGTTGTGTCCGCCGATAACTAAAAAAAAATAAATATTAAAAAATTCTCTCTCTCTCTCTCTCTCTTAAAAAAAATTAGATATGTTGGGGCTCGGGTTGTGGCTCAGTGGTAGAGTACTTGACTAGCATGTGCGAGGCCCTGGGTTTTATCCTCAGCACCACATAAAAATAAATAAATAAAATAAAGATATTGTGTCCATCTACAACTAAAAAAATATATATATATTAAAAAGATAGATATGCCTTTTAATTACCAGCCAGTAATTTTTAAAATCTCTTAAGTGTTTATTTTGGTGGCACTGCAGAATGAACGCAAGGGGTTTTTACCACTGAGCTATATATCCAGCCCTTTTTATTTACTTACTTATTTATTTTGTAATTTTGAGACAGGATCTCCCTCAGTTGTCAGGGGTTCCACTTTGAACTTGCTATCCTCCTGCCTGAGTAGCTGGAGTTTCAGGAATGTGCCACTGCACCCAGCTCTGAATGTTTTCTAATGCCTTGCAGAGCCATAGGGCACCAAATGGTGTGATTCAGGACAGCTGGAAATAAAGGTGTGGCTGGTAAAACCCAAGTGGCTGTTCTTCAGAATAGCCAAATGCTTTGCTTCCTTTCTCTAAAGGAGTAAGATTTTACACTGGGGCGGGGGATGGGGGCAGAAAAGTAAATTTATTTATTTTATTACTTGGACTATGGCTATTATTTTGCATTTAGTCTTACTTAAAAAAATGTTTCAGCCTGATATATGTCGTATGTTTCTACTTTAAACTGGATTATAGTCTGAGCCACTGTTATTACTTCTGCCAAGCGCTGCTTCTGGAGAAACATGCTATTATCTTTGCGGGTAGTTGATCCCAGGGCCTTCAGCTCCTCAGCAGCGCTGCCAAGTGCCATCTGCCCTGCCTGCCCACATCCCCCATCCCTCCCCTTGGAGCTAGAGCAGGAGTCA